AGGAAAGGAAAGGAAAGGAAAGGAAAGGAAAGGAAAGGAAAGGAAAGGAAAGGAAAGGAAAGGAAAGGAAAGGAAAGGAAAGGAAAGGAGAAGAGAGAATATTCTTACTCCACTACTACAAGTTGGACTGGAGATATCAGAATGTTTCAGAGTGGGAGACAGTAACCTCCTACCTCAGGATTACCTTTAAGATGCCTGAAAACTCAGAAGGACATTTCAGTTGTTGTCTCTTCTTCATCAGAAATTTTTATCCCTTAATAATAAGTGCTACTAGACCTTACTAGAAAGATCTTACTAGAAAACCCTTGGTGTTCACAGATGAAAAGTAATCCTTAGTTTTTTCTTACACAATGCCACTAATTTCCTTCCTAATTTTAATGATAAAATTCTCTTCAATAAAACAGATATAGTACAACTACCTTCTCAGGTTTACTTTCTTCCTTATGAGATTCTTGTCCATAAGAAAATGTCCTCATTATAATCTCAACAGTTGATCCCAAGACCTCCTGAAGTGAATGGCTGAGAAGATGAGAATGCAGTGGATACTGTGGAGAATGTCTGCCATCCAGAAACATAAGCCAAGTGTAGCTCTCATCTCTCCTATGAGAGGGTATACAGAAAGAACTATAAAAGAGGTAAAAATATTGTGGAAGTAATCACCGTATAATTGATTGTATTCACTCCACAAATATATTTTGAAATGAATGAAGTATTTCATTGTCTTTTAAAACTTTAAAGTAGCTAATAAATCACCATAGATTACTTAGAAAATATTTCAAGGTAACTTGCAATTAATGGAATACTGTTAGATTTAAAGCTCAAGAAACATAAAAGTATTCTAAGAAATATTTAATTTTTGTCCTCCCAAACCTAGGAAAAATATTAATTTTACTACAAAAATTAAATTTAAAAATAAGGATATATTACACATATGAATTTAAATTTATCTTACAGTATCTCTCTATACAATAGTTCATTAGAACACTGATGCAGCATACCAAATTGAATATGATTTTATTTCACTTTGTTTTCTTTTTCAGTAGCAGAAATCAAACTCAGGACACTGTGCTTGCCATTCAGGTGCTGCACCACTGAGTTATATCCCCAGCCACAAATTGAATAGGAGAATAGATAATTAAAAGCACTTGAACACAGACTAACAAAATATCACCTGTAAATGCAAATAGGGCTAAAAAAATATCAACATGACCCCATTGGCTGTAATATTAACTGATGGAAGTCTTACTAAGTAAAATTTATTAGTAAAATTTATTATCAGTATCATAGCTAAAAATTATGATGATACACTGACAATCCTCCAGTATTTAGGTCATCAATTAAAATAATTCATTGTGTTCTTTCTGGTAGTATAATTTCATTGTTTAAAGTCAAGTAAATAATTCCTCAGGAGGTATGGTATTTACTTTGTTTTCGTGATACTTGTGGATAGCCAAGGTCTCAGGAACAAACACAGGAGAAAAATGTGGTGAAATTATTACTGAAAATGCAAAATCTTCAAAGCCATTTGCAAAATTTAAAGTACTAGATAATCTATTGTTTGAACATTTGCCCCCTCCCAAATCACGTTGAGATTTAATTGCCATGACTGCAGCATAGAGGTTGGATGTGTAAGAGGTGGGAGCCAAGAAGGCTCCTCCCTGTAGGCGGGGCTTGGGCCTTAATGAAAGGCACTTGCTTCCAGGAGTGACTCTGTCCACCCCTTCTGCCTCTGCCTAGTGGGACTCCGCAGGAAGGCCCTTGCCAAATGCTGATCCCTGGATTTCTGATTTCCCAGCCTCCAGAACTTTGAGAAAATAATTTGTTTATTATGAAAGCCAGTCCCAGGTATGCTGTTATAGCAGCACAAAATGAACAAAAAGAAATGAGCTTACCTACTCATTTATTCCAAGTTTACTTACTAAGTTAATGCTAAGTATTTCTAAGGAACATTTTAGTTCATAAATGGTTCTTCTATATCTACCTCATTTTGCATTTTGTGCATTTAGTATATGAACAGACATATTCTGTGCAATATAATCTCAACTATCTTTTAAAAGTTTTTTAAAAACAATTATCACTAAGGATGCTTTTCCTCCTCAAATAAGCACTCAGTCACTTGAAAAGAGTAGAGTAAAACAGCAACAAAACTCCCATCGGTATACCCACCATTTCCCACAGCATTTCAGGACCATTTACAACAAATCTTTGAAAACACATGTGGCAGAATTTAATTACACGGTGTTATATCCAGCATCTTCCCAATAAATATATTTTATTGCTGTTTTGTGGCATGTGATGACACAGTAATACTGCCTCTACTTTGTAGACTGAAAAGAACAACATTATTATCTGGAAATTAAACTCGTATTCTTTGTTTCACCTGACTATAGACACAGTGGCAGAAGGAAAGAATATACTGCTGAAAAAACATATATAGAAGAAACCTTAGTCAGACAAGGAAAAAACAAAACAGACCTTATCTAAGTGTGAAGTGCTGGTAAAGAGATTTTGGGGGTGAAACTGAACCAAGGAGACTGAGCTGCCCTCATGATGCAATCATCGGATTGTTGGGAGTTTCAGTAAACATGGCAAATATCAGTGAAATTTCTCAAGAGAGCCTCTGTTGATTGAGGACATGAGAGACGTTTGCTGCTTTTGTTGCCTTATGCAGTGCACTGCGACATTTGTCTCATCAAACCAGAATACATCAGAACAGAGAACTTAACCAGCTGAGCACTGCTGATGCAGACCAGTGGTTTACAAACCTTCTTACAGAGCAGAGATTTCTTTTGCCAAACAACATCTTAACTTATCTTTAAAGCCCAGAATGTAAAACATGCTGAAACAAAAATAATAATGAGACACAGATGCCTTATTGATGCTAGGTTAAAGTAAGTGGAACTGTAGAATGGATAAATGATGAAGACCCTTTGGGAAAGCACGCCTTCCATGACAGCTCAAAACATTCTTGTGTGGTCCATTTCTCTTATCTGATTTAGAAGAAAAACAAAGAATTACTGTGAAAATACCCATAGTCATAGAGTTTGTGAATGGTGAACCAGAGTTCTGAGCTTCCCACCTGAATCTCCTCATGTACATTTTATTGTCTTTTCAGAATATACAGATAATGAGATATTTAAATGATCAACAGATGGCCTTTATATTCTAACAAAAATTCAAATTCAATTTATAGTGGAAAAAATAATAAAAATACATTAGCCATGTATTATTGTTTAGCCCCCCCGTACCACAAAAAAATTTTGCTTATTTTCAATATTATTAATATGGATGCTACTCAATTTACTTTCAACAAACACACTGTGAAAATATTATAATTCAAATATGTAGTTTATCACCTAAGCTACTCAGCATCGTAGGTTAGCCATATAATACAATGGAGTAGGTATCAGGGCATTCCCCTCCTGATCACATAACACCATGGCTCATTGCTCAGCACCGACAGAGACTATCAGACCAAAGGTAACATTGTAAGTATTGTCTTATGGTGTTTATTGAATATATATTTCTTTTATAAATGTAGCCATCACAATTTGGAGACTCTCAGTACAATAACATGTTCCTTGGAAAAGACAATCAGCAAAATCATACAAGACAAAAATCATACTTTAACACAGGTGTTCTCTTATGCTTTTCACTACTATCCTGACTGTGATGTCTATTCTATAGAACAGTTGATTACGACAATGAAATCGTCACATATTTCATTTCTTTATGGGCCAAGTGGTCTAAATCCCTTATTAGCCTCTCACTGAAGCACCTAATATCTTTCAAATGCTAAGAGGAAGGATATGTTGATAGACTGATATCTTTAATCTTAAAAGTCTGTTATAAATAAGTGCCATATTCATGATGGTCACTGTTAACTTTGTATATAAAACATTCATCAAGTATCCCACAGTCACCATGAATGCCTCAAACACTTGAATGTTTCAGGCTTCATTTTTATTGTTATGTCTTTTTTTTCTTGCTTTTAATACAACAATAGTTGATACCAGGGTAATGGTCAGGTATTTGCTGAGTTCGTATTTCTAACTGTAAATGCCTCTGTACAGTATCGGCAGGGTCTGGAGCCTGACTAATTTATTTATTTATTTTTTGTTTCTAATGTTGAGCCTGAGCAATTTAAATGGAGTTTAGAGGACATCAGTACTCAAAATGACATTTTTTGAAAATGTTTAACAATAAATATTTCTTCAAATAAATAATCATTTAGATTCTAATTAAATGACAGCTATTGATATTGTGAGAACATACTCTGTTAATATGTATTTTGTAAAATGGCCATTTTGTGTTATCAGAAAGTGCAGGCATTTTCAGCATCCAGTAAAAACGTTTTTTATATCATTAAAAATAGAAAATTAAGAATTTAAAGAAAATATTAACTATTTACAAAACAGGAGTAACTTGCTGAAAAAATCCTGGAAATAAAAATGATGTTACAACCTGCATATATCTAAATCAGTAGAAAACAGAGCTCCCTGAAGTCACGTGGGGTGACCTGCACAAAGCCTGGTGACACTGTAGCACACGGAGGTGTATTAGCAAACCAGGTCCCAGCTCACTTATTTAGTTTCACTTTAAAATTTACAAAGGACGGTTTAAGTGTTATGTAGCTGTAAAATACAGCTAGTTTTACACGTACATCGAGTTAGGAGACAATAAAAATTCATTGTAAAAAGTCACAGACTCATAGACTTTCATGCCATACCGATCTTCAAATGACATCTACTCCAATGACTCCTGATTCTTGAATTCTCATAACATTCCAGCTTGTTGATCATTAAACCTCTGTCCAAACACAAAAAGTGGAATGGGATGGTAGGATGGTGCCAGGTAGAAAGCTCAAAGTTCATGTCAGTAAAATGACCTATTCTTAATTACTGTCAGGTCCATATTATACACTGTGATATTCCCACTGCTCAGCAACGAATCCACCACCTGCTCTTAAGAAATGATGCTGAGATGTCTGCGAACAAAAAGCAGAGAATCAGGTAATCATGTATGGGAAAATGCTTCATCTCATGAAGGATCTGTAAGGCTACCCCAGAGAATCTATAAAGTACTTTGATGAGTTACAAATTCCAAAAAACAGAATTTTTAAAACTATACTTTTAAAGTTTTTGCTAGTTACTAAAATTATTGCTTCCTATATCCAGTGAGAGCTTTCAACTGATCCTACTTTAGGAGACATTTTTTTAAAAGAAATGACAATTTAGTGAAATATCCGAAAGCAAACCAGGAGAATAATAATATTTTGAAGACTGAAAATCATCTGTTTATTGATATCCACTGATAAATTTCTTATAAAATTATTAATAACTTTGTTTTGCTTCTATGTAACTAATAACAGTCTCGGTGTTACTATTTTACTTGCAAAAACCTGGCAACTTAAACTGATTACTACTAAAATATTACCTTACCCTAAAGTCATGAAAATACTATTTTCTAAGGAATTATGTGGTCCAAAAATTTCCAAACCATTTTACTTCATTTATTTTATTCATCTATTAATTCAAACAACATGGTGTAATTCTCAATATCTTTTTGACTTTCTAAACTATGTTTTGATCATTTTGTGACAGGTTTTCTTTTTTTGCTATTTTTCAGAAAGCCTATGGTAAGGAAAACTCAACTGAATTATCAATGCCAATAGCAAATAACACTGGATTACATTAAAAATGGAAAACTATCCAAATTAATTCATGTAGATGGCTCGCCATGCAAACAGGTAAGAAACGAGCCCATGACATTCATTTTTTTTCCCCCATTTTCTAAGTTGCTGGATCTGGGGGCTGAGCTCAACAGCTCTTAGTCCCTTACCACATGGACCTTGCATAACAGCGCAGTCCTCCAGCATCTCTCTGACATCAGCGAGAGCCCAGTTCCTCTTTTAAAAGGCTCAGTTGACTACTTCAAGTGTACCTGGGAAATCTCTTTTCTAATGACTCCACAGTGAACTTATGAGTAACCCTACTGATATCTCTTTTGCCATAAATGGGTCATAATTCTGATAGTTATCCCTGTCCTGATCACAGTCCTGTCCATGCTAAAGGAGAGAGATCAGGAGCTGGGGATTTAGCTCAGGGACACAGCACCTGCCTGGCAAGTGCAACGTCATGAGTTTGATTCCCGGTACAAGAAAAAAAAACCAAAAACACTAAAAAATAAAAAAAATAAAGGAGAGAGATCAGACATGGAATCTCCACCAAAGGTCAGCGCTGTAGTCAGGATTTTCAGGGGAAAGGAATTGATACAGGCACATAATTTATGGGATTGCCTTATAAACGACTTGATCTACATTGCCAAACACTGCCTGCTACTGAAAAGTGGTGAGTATATAAGAGATGGATAGGGGAGCATAAGAGAATGAAGATTAACCTTTTCACCAAAAAATGTTAGAAATGCAAAACACTACCATAGATTGAAAGTTTACATTCCTAGCAAAGCCCCAGGAGTATCTTGGTGACATTGTGGTTTTTATCTAGGGCTCCTGAACTCTACAAAATGGAAAGAAGTGCATTTAGAACTCTCTGTGATAAATGCGTGAATGGTGATGCTGTCATGATATTCTTAATTTAAAGTGAGGGTGAAAGAGCATCGCTGTTCTAGGGTTACTATAAAATGATACATAGAGTGCTCTTAGGGTGGACACGGTTGGCAGTGCATAGCTGGTACAGTTCAGCTGAATCATCAGTTTCTAAACATAAACTTGGCATTCCACTAAAACTTTGTAAGAATCATGAAATGCTGGCTTTAATGTTTTCAGAAATTAGGAATGACTTTGAAAAGGCACTTTTATTTCCCTTCTTAATCCATAAATCAAATCTATTATATTTCTTATATTTCAAATTATAATTTTGCTGAAATCTCATGAATTACAGTAAATACTACATAACAGGATCCCGGGCCTTCACAATGAACTGCATCCTTAGCCCTAGCCTTTTCCTTTCCTCTCCTTTCCTTTTCTCTCCTCTCCTCTCCTCCCCTCCACTCCTCTCCCCACCCCTGCCCTCCCATCCCTCCCCTGCACTCCCTACCCCTCCCTTCCCATCCCTCCTCTCCCCTCCTCTCCTCTGCTCTTCTCTCCTCTCCTTTCCTTTCTTTTCCCTACCAGGACTATGGAGAGATAAAGGTATGCAAACTGTAAAAGAGAAGATAAAAGTCATGAAGAAATGGAATGAAGTGGAATGGAATAGAATAGAATGGGAGTACCAAAAAGTGTCCAAGGAAAAAGACAGAGTAAGTGCAAGACTTTATTAGAAGGTATGATGGCTATGAAATTCCTACAACAATGAAAGAGTGTGAACAGTAAAATTTTAATCTAATATGATTATGATTAAGGGCACATTGATGGGGTAGTTCTAAACACTCAATCAAATAATTCATAGTTTTACACACCCAGGAAACTAAAATAAAAATTACACATCTATTATCCAGAAATTCATTTCTAATGAAATGAATCTTCTAAGAAAATATGATAAATAATTCTAATTTTTAAGTTTAAGGTAAATAATAAATAGAATGGCATGAGTTTAAAAAGATAAGTGAAATAGAGCAAAACAAACAAAATCAATGGAAAATAGTTCATAAGATCTCAACACATCCTCTCCTGGATTTTCTCTTCTAGTCAAAAGACAAGAATTTGAATCAACAGATTTTGCATTTTTGACCTGGAAGGAATTCTAGAAATGTGAATCACTGCAGAAAACATCCTGTTTTTCAGTACCCACCATTTCAATGAAAAGGAGAATTGTGACCATTAAGAAAAAGCCATGCCACAAATAATCCCTTCCAAACTTCCAGTTAACTGTGAACAAAATATAAATATCATAGTGAGGGAAATATATTTTAAAATTCGATTTTGCCTAATTCCTGGGGAAAATCCTGTTGCATCTTTACCATGGAAAACTATGAAAAAGATTTTAAGCAAATCTATTTACTCAGGAGACCAAGGCAACTGTGAGCTAAGATCATCTGTACTCAAGGAGAGGTCAAAGAGGGTGGGAGATCATTCACTATTGAGGACCTTTAGTGGATGAATGCACCCATTCTGTCCCACATGCATTTCATTAAGAAATAATAAGTTAGCTAACACTGCCAAAATCAAGTTCACCTAAGTAACAGGTCATTATGTCTAATGACCTTTCTCTTTAATAGGTTAAAGTTTCCATCCAAGTGGCTAAAATAAAAATAACAAAAAATACCAATATTTTAGACATGGGACAACCAGAGAAATCTTTATATCTTGCCAGTGGGAGTGTAAATTGTTAGAAGCATGCTGAAAGTCTAGCTGGCCATTCCAAAATTGTATAATTGAATGTCTATGACTGAATGCCACTTCCAGATTTGTATGATCAACATAATGTGTATGAATTTTCATCAAAGAATATGCCCAGTAATCATCATAGCAGGAGTTTTCATAATAGACCCAAACTGGAAACTGTGAAGTGACTTTTGTCAGCAGAGTAATTTCATAAATTCTGGTATATTCTCCTAAAGAACTAACTTGCTGCCATAAGAATGAATGGAATTCATCTAGGTTCATTATGGAAAAATCCTGCAAAAGCATGGATCACTTTTGCAAATGCAGTATGATATAAAAGAAATAAGGCAAAAAGAATATGTGTTATTTCATTCCCTTTGCAAACATTGTAGAGACATTTTCAAATGTGCATTCCATTTACCTGCATGCTTTGTCAGTGTGGCTTGTGTCTAGATGTTCCACAAAGACTCATGCAGTCATAGGTGGGGCTTTTTCAGAGGTGCTTGAATCTACAGTGTGTGATGCTGGGATTAAGGGTGTATGATTGGGGCTGGGGATTTAGCTCAGTGGCAAAGCGCCTGCCTGGCAAGCGCAAGGTCATGAGTTCGGTTCCCAGTACCAGAGAAAAAAAAAAAAAGGGTGTATGGTTACTAAATCAGTCCACCTATTTCTTTGGCATGGCCCTAATCCCAGTAGCTTAGATAAAGAGAAAAGGGGGCAACAAGAAGCTTCTAAGGACCCTTGCTTGCTTTGATACCTGTCTGCCATGAACGCTTTCTTCTTTACATTGCCTGTCTGCCATGTGACTCTGCGTTGGAGCCAGCCCATTATGGACTGAAACCTCTGCAAACTATGAGCCAAATAAACCTTTCCTCCCTTAGCCTTGGGCATCACATGTTTGTCTCAGTAACAACAATTAAGTAAGATAGAATTTGGTACAAGAAAAGTGGGGCCATTGCTTTGACTATGTCACCATGTGGTTCAGGAGCCTTTGGGACTGACTTGTGGGAAGAGTTTGGAAAGGTTCATAAATGTCAGGTGAAAAAGTAGAGTGGGAATGCTGAGGTGGTACTTAATGGAAAATTCTGATCAGAGCTCTGGAGATAAGAATGCTGATAGAAATCCTGCTGGTAAAGTCCAAGCTTGGAGGTTTCTGCTAGGAAGAAGAACCATATTGGCTGTTGGACTCCAAACAGTGTGTTATACCTTGGCAGAAAATTTGCTGCATATTATTTATGTCCAAAGACTTTGCCTAAGACTGAAAATAAGGGTGGCAGACTAATTTCTTGTGTAGAAAAAATTTCAAAGCAGGCTAGTGTTTAAGAGATAAAATGCATACTGCTAGGGGCCTTTAGTTAGATTAGGTTGAGAATCAGGAGCAAAGAGCTCAGCGGAGTAACTTAAAATATTTTTTAGTTTTCCCAGAAAGAAAGCTCCAATAAAGTTATAGCCTACAAAGATGAAACAGAAGAGAAATTTGTCACTGAAAATCTAGCAAGTAAAAGCCAAATCTTTCAAAAGAGGGAAATAGAAAAGATAGCCAGAGATCACAAAAAAACAGCAGGACTCCACCCTTTGCAGTCTCAAAATTGCAGAAGTGAAAGACTTTGCTGTGACAAGAGAACCCTAGAGAACCACATTCCAGATAGGTAGCAGCCTAGAGAAATTTTTCCTTGAGATTTATTTGGTTCATAGGCACTCAACCCCTACAGCCAAGAGATTAGGAAGCCTAGCTACTGCTTCATCTGGCAGCAGATGTTGGCATCATCTATGTGGTGTTGGTTTTAGGTATACACAGAATGCAAGAATTGTGGGGTCAGGAAGGTTTCCACCCAAATTTCAGAAGAAGGCCTGGGAGGCCAGGTAATATGCTCCTGAGAAGTCAGGGTGTGAAGCTGTGAGTGTGAAACTAAGGGTGCAGTGAACACCCCACAAGTTTGGAGAAGCCAGTAACATGGATTGTCTGAAGAAAACTACTAGGAGTGAGCAGCGCTGGCCTAAGAGAGAAGCTATAGGAGTTACAACCACTGACAGTGACATAGAGGTGGAGCCATCCAAACTATTTGGAGTTCACATCTTGCCACAGATTGCCTCAGATACTAAACTTAGAACTACAGGACCTAATGTTTGTCCTGGTGGATTTTGGTCTTGCCTCACACCTATTCCTTTCTATTTCCCCTTTTGTACCTTTGGTACAAATGTTAATGTCTATCTTGTGCCACTGCATACTGGAAGTGTTAAACTTTCTTTTCGTTTGTAGAGGGGCTTGCAGCTAAGAGTTTGTCTTAAATCTCAAAGGAGACTTTGAATTTGGACTTTTAGCAATGCTGAAACAGTTAGGACTTTGGCAACTGTTGGAGATGGAGTAAATGCCTTTTGCATTAAGGGACGTGCATGAGTCTTTGGGGGCACAGGGGCACAATTTTATGACTTGTGTCTAGATGTCCCCCAAAGCCTCATGCAGCCATAGGTGGGGCTTTTTCAGAAGCAACTGAATGAAGAATGTGTGATGCTGAGATTAACAGTGTATGATTACTAAATCAGTCCACTGATTGGTTTGGCACTGCCCTAATTCCAGTAACCTAGATAGAGCATAAAAGGGGAAGAAAGAGGTGCCTCAGGGTCAAGCAACTAGACATGAACCTCAAAGAAACACTTCCCGGACTCAGCCAAGAACACCCAGTAGTGGCTCCACCAACTTCCTAGGAGAACACAAATCCAAACAAGTTTATGTTGCAATCTAAGCAACTTGAGTTATTTCTACTTTTTGATTATTATAAAGCAGAAAACTGCAATGTGTAGTTCATGACTATTGTTGTATCTGTGTGAGAGCTTCTCTAATAGCAAGTGCATTTAAACGGTTATTCAAAACTTCCAAATTCAGGGCCAGGGATATATCTCAGTGGGATAAGCACTTGCCTGGCAAGCACAAGGTCCTGAGTTTGATTCCCAGTACCAGAAAAAAGCCAAAAAATAAAAAAAAACCCTCCCAAATGGCAGTTCATACTGGCTTACCATTTGCATAAGCATAAAGACTGAATGTAAGTTCTTATTTTTCCAAGTACTCATTACCTACTTGTAAATTATTTCCAGTCTATTATGAGTAAAATGGTATTTTAGTTTCCTTAAATATGTATGTGATTATCATGGTTTTTTACTGTCACTCAAGCATAGAGTGGATATGTCATAAAGAAAAGAAGATTATTTCGGCTAATGCGTCTGGTACTAGGTTGAGAGGCCTCTTCTGGGCATGACCTTCTTGGTAGTAGAGAGTGCATCACATCAGAAGAGCTAGGAATCTGGACAACCTATCTAACTGGTTTTTATAGGAGGCTCATTCTCTGGATAACCTGTAATCCATTACTTGCATGAATAGATTGATCCATTCATGAGGACAGAGCCTTATTCACTCAATAAAGGCCCTATCTTGTCCTACCTCTTAATATCTCATGGTTCAAATAAAACTTCAATGTGAGTGTAAGAGGGGAAAAAACTGTTTTCAAACCAAAGTAGTTTCTTATTGTTATTGACATGGGTACTTTTTCATGCTCATTGATCAGTCATATTTCTCATTTTTGTGAACTTTATGCAATTACTTAAGAGGATGATGATTACCTTTAATTAATTTGAATGAGTGATTTTTAGTTCTCAATACCACTTGCTGTTTGCTAGATGTATTACAAATATCTTTTGCCAATCCCTGTGACTTGTTTTCACATTTATTACATTATTGTTGTGCAGAAATTATGTTTTAATATAGCAAATCAATTTATTATTTTCCTGTATATTGCTTTTTCTATATCTTGTTTAGGAAATCTTTGTTTATCTCTACAAACATATAGTGTTCTCTGGCTGCGGGCGGGGTGAGCAGACTTTCAGCCCCGCACGCCCAATTTTATGTGCTTATATCTGGTAATCTGAACAGCTACTTTGAAGATAACAATATGCAGCTTAACAACCATTGTTGATTTTGTGTGGCTTTTTTTTTGAAATTCTGTATCATTTTTAGTGGTTTTTTTTTTCTAGTTTTTACTTTCCTTGAAATTATTTTAAAAATCCTATTCTTCTTCTGAGCCCCATATTTAAATCAAATATGACTATTGCTGTCTATGTGAAGTTTGCTCAGTTCATTATTTATCTTTCACAATGACATTTGGGACGCCAATATGTCAGGCTAGATTTGATTCCCCTACTGTGTATTACACTATATTATTATCTTAAAATATCCTCATTTGTCTCCCATCAGAGGCTACACCATGCCATAAACATTAAAATAGAAGATCTGGAATGGAATTAATAGCATAGTTAGAGGGCTTAATATCTAAATGGCTTGTTAAAGGAGTTTGAATTATCTGATTCTTCTGGTTTGAATACAAAAGCATTCACTCAGTTTGGGAAGCAAAGTATGCCAACTACCTCAGTAGTGAAAATCTGCTTGGCATTGGTTTGGTTTTGACTTCATGCCTAACTCATACATACAGGTCAGATTAAGCCTGAATGAGACCTGGGATATTTTTCATCTTGAGCTGCAGCAGAAAAGAGGAGATGAAAGTGAATGTTTCATTCTATGCATAATCTTATCCCAGACACTGCTGATTCCTGATTAAATTCTCAATCAACACATTCTCAACAGCACATTTATTTAGTTCCCCAATCTCATTTAGAAAGCTTTTGGATTTAAATAAACTGAGTAATCTCAAAAAATTCTGCATAATGTAGACAAAAATAAAATCTCAGGAAAAATTTATTTCATCATGTTTGTCATAACTCTAATTTCACAATGATTTTATTTTGCATCAAACATTCTGTTTGTTTGGAATTTTTATAATATATATGCATACATTTATATACAGGTAGTCAAAGTATATAAAGTATAAGACATATATACAGGTGTATATAATTATAAAGGCATTGTTCATATAGAAAACTATAGTTATCATAAGAATTAAAGCCATTATAATGAATTTTTGCTAAAATGGCTTCTGTTTCATGAAGTAGTAAATAAAACACTTGAAAATTTATTTCAAATTTAATTATGTTAACTGAGTGTTCCAAAATAATCCTATAAGAGTATTCTAAGGGGCTGGGAATTCAGCTCAGTGGCACAGCACCTGCCTAACAAGCACAAGGTCATGAGTTCGATTCCTGATACTGGAAAAAAACCAAAAAACAAAAAAAGAATATTCTAAGTTTGTGACAGAAATAAATAGTAACCAATATTCAATCTCCTTGGCTTTTAGTTAAATCAATGAGAATGATGGGACTGAGCCACACATCCCACTCTGATGCAAACACTTTGGGAAGTGGGATCCACACATCGCCTGCTAGAGAAGCCAGGTGTCTAGAAAGCTCTGACAGAGGGGTCACCCAGCTCCCAAATCACTGCGCACCTGAGTCTCTCTTGTACCTTTCTTTTTAATACAGACACCATACTTGGCTCATCTGTGACAGCTAATCCAAGCAGGATTTCTAAACCGTATGTCAGGGACCCACCTGC